TCGCACAATTAGCTTTTCCTTGCTGAGAAAACGCAGGGTCACTGAATTACTAACCGATCGGAATCAATCCGACGGACTAGAAAGCGTTAAATAATACACGAGGACGAGGGTCAATGGCCGTCGCGTGTTCGTGACAGTTTCCGGATTAAATCATCGAAAGGTTGGAACTGAAGTTACAATCCAATAAATGTGGTGGTTCCGCCTGACAGCAGAAATTAGAGATCCTTATTTTACGCGCAATACACGTGTGACGGACAAATTACGGACCTCGTTCCGTACAATTTTTAACGCGATTCGTTCTGTCGTGAAAATTTAAAATTAATGAAACGTCGTAAGGTTTAAAAAGAATCGACAACGTAACGTTCGAATTAAAATTAACAACTTTCTAAATTGTTGAAACGTGTTCACATATGTTTAAGTATAGGTTAATAAGTCCCGAGCTCGATGAAAATTATATGATTCGATATAAAATATAAAATAGATTATATAAGAATTATTTAACGCTATTAGTATATTTAACATACACCATTCACGTGTTATATATATAGTGAAAACACGAATCTTCGATTAAGAATACGGTTTCGTATCACGTGCCATTCAGAACTACGATCTCTTGTTTACAATAAATATATTTTGAGGTCTAAGTACGTTTATATAAATGCAAGTCTGAGTGTTCGAATAACTTTCATAAGATCGAACGTCTTCAAACAAGTTTGTTCATTTCTAAACTACTTCCATTCGAAAAGACCAAAAGTCTCGGCCAAAATCTTTGCAATTCGATTGCTACAGAATATCCGGCAACGGGCAAACGATCTAGCAAAGACACGTCGAGTATTCTCATCTTAATTAACTTACGATCTCGTCGGGAAAATCGTTGACTCAGTTCCGCCGTTATTTCGCGTCGAACTCCTTTCTCGAAATAGTCCAACGTCTTTCTTTGTTTCTTCGCGTCGAGATTGTGTCGCGTTGTGTCCTCCTCCCGTGGTATTTGCCCGAATTTTCGAGACAATTCCAAAACTCTCGTCCCTCTGCGCATCGTTCGTTTCCTTCGAACACGAAGACTCCTCGAGTCGCGTATCAGTCACGCTCGAAGGATTTCGATTTTCTTCCCGACCCACCACCGTGCATTTCTCTTTCGACGCGTCCGTCCCGAGATCGACTATCTTCTCGTTGAAACGTTCCTTCGAATTTTTCACGAGCACAGCGCTCTTCTGCAAAATCGAGACGAGAAACATCTCCGGCGACGGTTCTTCTTCGGCCTTCACTCTGAAATTCTCCGTTTCCCGCGAACGTCCGCCGTCTCTTTCAATCTCTAAATGCGCCTCGAATTCACGCGACGCTCGAGCCTCGTTGTCATTCCGACGCGTGTCCTCGTTTTCACGAGCGAACGCGTCCTCCGCGTGTCTTTCCACTCGTGGGTCCGCGGCAACGCTCTTCATCACGGCGTCGTCGGTGAATCTCTCCTCGGACCAATCCATAAATTTCGTCGGACACGCTGCGCCGGCTTCTCGGAACGTCGTGCCGTATCTTGGGATCGTTTCTTCCTTCGAAAACGATACGACGTTCTGCGATTCGTCCGCGAATGAGGGCGCATTGATGTTCGTTCTCGTCACGGCGACGTCGTTGGAAGTTTCGTTCGAATAATTGTCCATTTCGTTGTTAACGTTTGTCTCGATTTTTATTGAAAATGTGATGGAATCATCACGACGCTTCTCCCAGTGTCCGAGGTGAGTTTTTGTTTTATTGTTGAAGAGATACGTGCGAATATTGTGTAGGTCTGCTCGATAACAACGAGCAAGGCAACGTGATCTATCGATGTCTGTGCACGCTGAAAGCAGGTCTTTGAAAAAGTTATGCTATTCTTATTAGAATTAGTTATCTTTTAAAGTAATAAAAAAATTATAGAATACTTAGAATTAATTGTTCTTTAAGATAATAAAAAAAAGCGCACCGGATATTGAACGTATATATATATATATATATATATATATATATATATATATATATATAT